AATTCAACCGTCCAACCGTTTGAAATCGTTTTTCAACAATTGTTATTTAACCAGTCGATGACCATTGTCGAAAACGTGTTCTCATCAAATTGAACGCAAACGTTCACGCGAGCGACACCGGTTTCCGATCGATAGGGGATAATGGCGTGTCTGAACAACTTAAGATCGATGGTGCAATATTCTTATCGATTTCGGTTTATTTTTTTATTTTCGTGTTTCGACGGATAGTGCGGCGCACTGGTTCTCGAAAACGTATAGCCAAACTTTTATAGCAGATGTTACAGAAATGTTCCATTAGCCCATGAAAGTTTTATTTTTATTTATTTAACACTGGAATGTTAACACCTATAACTGATTTTTTCCCACTGTACTATTGAAGTATAATAATTTTTAATAATTCTTACCTACTAACCGTTGACAACGTGTACATCAATATTATAAAACCACGGTACAGGTAGTAATACTTGACCTATCATATTGTTGATATCACACGTTTTTTGGTATGAACGAAAGGGGCTTGAACATTCCACCTGAAATATCAGAAAAAAATATAAAAAAATGATCTGACCTACAAATGTAATAGTTATTTCAATATTTCTCATGGGACTTGCAAATATATAAATATATTATTTGATGAGTAATAAAGCATGATATCTGTCAACATTTAGAATTTTTCGAATCATATCGCCCCCGAAATTTTTTCCTACGCTCACTTCTGCATATTCTACACATTATATCATGAGGTCTATATCGACACTTGAAGATTACCGTGGCTTGCAATAGGCTACATCTATACGGTAGTATGGTTCACGTCACGACAAAGCCATAGCAAGGGGGTAGCGAAGATATTCCTTGTGCACCGGGTACTGTTCCCTGAGAGGGTGGAAAAATAGAAAATTTTGATTTTGAAAATGTTTATTTACAAATGTTTCAACGTAATTTCAAAGCAATTGTTGAAAATAATATCTAATAATTACAATATTATTAAACTAAAAACACATAAGGGTGCGTTTTAAGGTTTCGCTCCCATTGCAATATATTTAATTGCCACTGATCTGCGTCATGGTGCCAAATGTAGGTATTATTTGTTGTGATCAACTAAGAACGTTGTTTTTGTTTAATGTTTTTTCATGAAATGAAATAAAATAAAATTCCAATTGTTTCATGTATTAAATGGAGACACCTACAAATCGATGTACCTACCTTTATAAATAATAATCTAAAGTAAAGATTCAGGTGTTGGCGTAGCTTACTCAGTAAAATCCGTAAACAAGCCTGTGCGGTCGAGACTTACCGGTATCCGATGAGGCCGGTCATACGGTGTTCATGGCTTTCCATTTTATCGACCGTACATGAGGGTAATCTAACTCGTAAGTTATCGAAATATATACAATTTGTCAGGACCTAGAAGATCGGTGGTCCGCAGTCTTCACAGGTTTCCGTTTCCGTTTTTTTTTTCCTTTTTTCTTTTTCTCTGCGTCGTTGACAAGTTTCACTGCAATTACTCGTTATACGGCCATGGACTCGGCTATATCGGATAAAGGCGTATTTCGATATTAATTGACCACGTATTCACTCCGTTCGAATTACTCCCCAGGGAACTTTAAAGATTGTAATGATACTGCTACATATAAACTATTAAAAATTGTACAACATTTGTCAAAAAATCACAAGTCAACTATGACGATACAGCCGAATTATAGTTTTATCACGATAACAATATCTGCATTTCATATACATCATATTTTATGGATACTGGTGACTAAAATAATTTAATCAGGTCTCGCGTTTTTGTTGGACGCATTAACCTTTTACCACCACACATTTAATCCGTTTTAGGAATACATTTCAATTGATTAGCATAATATTTTTTAAATACGTACACAAGTTGGTTTTAAAAAAATCTCTTAACGTGATTCAATTCTACTCGCGAATGTTCATGCAATACAACCAATAATTATTTTTCTTCTTCTCCTTCGTCTTCACTTTTCTCCCAACAATTTGTGATCGGCCACCCTTGTTTTAGACTTTCACTCGTCTCGATTTTCTACATCCCCTATACACATACCATCAGTCTTCATATCATTCTCAATCGTATCCAACCATCTATCTTTTGGTCTTCCTCTTTCTCTTTTCTCTTCAACGTTCATTTTCATAACCATTATTACTGCTGTTGTTTCCCTTCAACTCAAAATATGCCTAAACCATCTCAGTCAATTTTCTTTAATCTTTTTCCCTATCGATGCTAGACCAATACTACCTCTCACATATTCATTATTTACTCTATCTCGTCACTCCACCCATTTATCAAAGCATTTTCATTTCCGCAACACTTATACTCTGTTATATTTTCCTGCCAATCACCCAAAACTCTGAACCATATAGCACTACTATAACATACTACTATGGCATACTACAATACTACAAATAATAATATTATGAATCGGATAATCGTATTACAACACAATAATCTAGCAAAAATGTTTTATGAAAACATATTCTTGTCCCCCTGAACATGACGAAATTATATATGATTTTTAAAGCAGTAAGTGTATAGACATTGTATTCAGATTATTTTTTACATATTTAACCGGACGACTCATTTGTATGATTTAAATTTAACGTTTATGTATACAAACTATATTAAAACAAATGCTTAGTAATAATTTTGCACTTAAACAATAACATAGTTGTATAATTGATAACATACGAACATAATTAATAAATTAAGGTTTGCAATGACATTACGAGTATCACTACTGTATATTTAATTTTTAAATATTATTAACTATTGTTACAGTTTCTTTTTATTCAAATTAAAATTAGTTTTTTAGAAGACCCCTAAATAAATAGATATTTTAATTAACATAAAATGTAAGTACATTTTCAACTTAAATGGCAATTGTTATTTTAATTATTCATTAATAAAAATAAATAATTTATTAATAATTAATAAATAAAAATTGAGCACACTAGGAAAAATGAGATATTATATGAATTAAATTATATTATATTTATACTTTTATCATTATTTCCGAATCATTTTATTGACTATGATTAAAATAATTATAATCTCATAGTATTATATAATGATAATAAATTATTAAAAATCATTTTTTATTACTGATTGAGATAATATAGAAATTATTATTAATAAAGCATAATCACTAAAGACCGGATTTATATGTATATATGATACATATGATATATTTATATGTTATAGAAATTATTAATCAATATAGCAAACAATGGATGGATAATACAAAAAATTATAGTTGCAATTATTTGAGCTACGATGATTTTTTAATACTAAAAAAACAACACAAACATATATATATACATACAGTAGAAACCGTTTATAATGATACTGGTTGTAGTGACATATCGGGTGTAATAAACTTAGATTGAAGGTCTCGAAAAAAACTCCTATAATGTATACATTTTTATCGGCTATGATGTTTGTATTATGATTATATGTTATAACGGTTATTTTTAATTATATTGCAAAATTATTTTGTCTATAATGATTTTACTGAATTAACTACAATAATTAACTAACCAATAATGTTAACAAATTATTTGGCTTTGAATAACATTAGTTCAAAAAACAAATTTTTAAAATCTAGAAAAAAATAAAGTATGATTTTTAAACAAACAAAGATAATAGATTTTTCTTATGCATCGTTGTGAATTTTATGCTAAAATAACAGTTAAGTTATTAAAAAAAAATGTATTATTTTTATTTTTTTCCGATATATAGTATTAATGATTTTATTGAATAAATATGTATGACACATTAACTATTAGGTTCTTATAAACGTATAAACGAGTTTTTAAATGGTTTTATTCATTTTGATTATTATAATCGATTATTAGGAACTAATTTTTACAAGTCCTTTGAATGTCAAATTAAATGGTTTTAATGATATGAGTAAATTTCTTCAGGCTATTATTATTTTGGTTATCCTTTGTTATGTCACCTGTATTACACTATCACATAGTTTCCACCCGATATTGTATAACTAAAATATTGCACCGAAATAATAATCCGGGATTAGTTAAAAGTAAATATTTGAATTTTGATAAGAAAAATATCTAGCATGTTACAAACATTAAAACTAAGTATAGTGCATAAAAAATATTGTTTGAGTAACCGTACGTAAAGTTAACGAATTGTTATTAAAAGTTTATAAAGTTTAAATTGTAAAGGGCTGAATGTCGGATTATGAGAATTGCATAATTATTGTGTAATTTTTATATGTCTGTGTGTGTGTGTGTGTGTGTATAGGTGGATATCTTATTTTATTTCATAATATAATTTAATTACTATCTGTACGGTAATTACCAAAATCATGGATAGTTTTAAAATCCTCGTGTATCGAATGATTATAAATATTTTTATTTTTCATACTGCCGTTAGAATTTACATTCGAATGGATTAATCGACATTATATCGAAAACACCGAAATTATTTTAATTTAATTTATTATACGTCCGTAATATTTTTTTTAATCATTATTGGTGCGTGTATTCTGGAGAAATATTTATTCGGGTAATGTTTTCCCTACAATGGTAAACGCTCATAAATTATATAAGCATATACTTTAAAAAAAAAAAAACTGCGTGTTTACATCACTCTAACAGTGACGATCATAAATTAGCACTTCAATGCTGTGATATAATTATATAGCTGCGAACTCATAAATCCACCTCGATCGTTGTCTGTTAATGGACGCGTGTTCAATGTTTTACAATTCAATTGTGTATTAATGGAATTACTACAGTTTTCAACCAATAAATCTCCAAAGGTATTGTTGAAAAAAATAAAAAAATCTATTACTACTATGATATGTATGTTTTATTGGTGCTTCGGTGGAATATTATAATGCAATATACAATTATTTGAAAATATCAATATTAACTGATATCATTATTTGAATATTGCAAATGTCTTACGATACGTAATATGTTCGTATTGCATCTTAAACTTTAACCCGTAGACAACGTGATATCGCATCTGATCCAAAACCCGGACGAAAACTTCGATGGTGAATACTGCAGCGAAATTGATTGTCCAAACCTATCCACGTTGGCGTTGTCCAGAAACGCCTTGGAGACCATCGAACAATTCATGTTTGTATCTATCAAATTGCGTGTATTGTACTTGGTAATTCGATATAAAACTTATAATATACTAGGGTACTAATGAAACAAAACTTTGTAATCATGCTAGAGTTACAACAAGATTGACAAACTAAAAGGATTAGAACATTTATCGAATTTGTCTCATTTACACTTGCGTGGCAACCAGATATCGAGCTTGGATGGTTTCACTGATAATTTGAAACATTTATCTTACTTAAATCTGAGGTAAGATTGCGTACAGCAAGCGTACTCAAAAAATAACATATTAGCACAGCATCGATGATGATTCATCTGGTGTAAACACACACATTCAATAATCAAGAAAGGGGAATAGTTACCTTTTACAAAAGTATTGAGTTTAAACATTAATTAAATTATGTTAGGGCGAAAACATGTTCGACTATTTTTTTTCTTTTTTATTTAATTCGGGAAGTTCTATTGTCTTTTGGAGTAGTCAATAACTTTCATTATGTACAATACTTAATAAATTGGGTATTTACTCGAATCACACTTAAAATGTCCTGATAATTTTTGCCAGTTGTAAAATATATATATTTATTTATTTATTAAAATTAGCAGAAATTAGCAGGAAATTTGAAAAATATAAATAATTAAATTAATATTAATTAATATTTATTTTAAATATAAAATCAATATTCAATTAATATTTGAAGTAGATATTTTTTACAAAATACAGTTATACAATTTGCGATAAAAATTCAATAAATTAAATCATATACCTATCATTTTTTTTTTTTTTTAATATCTAAGGTATATTTTTATATTATTAAACTACCTACACAGGTACAAATAGTAAAAATTAATCAGTTCTTTTAATACATTTTTGAATATTATGTGTTGGGAACAGATTGAACTGGTAAAATAAAGCCTTTGCGCGTCCGCGCAAACCAATTAGCGCATACCCATAAATGCTTTAATAATTCTGTCGAGATATCGCGCCGTTCCTCCGCCAACCGGTTTTTCACGGGAAATGGTCGACAATTATCAGCGTCATCACCTGTCTTCGAGGGCAGTGCGTTTTCTGATGGCTATCGGTTGTTGTTTTGCAGTCGTCCGTCGCGACACACATACAGCCTAGATATATCCGGCCGGCATTGCGTCTGTCAACGGCCTTCTACGCCACTCGCGTTTGATGATTCCCGTGTGTTTTTTTTTCGTTTGTGAACCCGGCCTTTGCGCTTCCGACACGCCAACCGGTATCGGTGTGTTTTCCGCCACTCGATCCCCGGGTTTCACATGCGCAAGGGTGTCGACCACGTGTCCGCCTGTGTTTTCCGACTATCGCCGTCCGGTGTATATTCTTGTTTGTTTACGTTTCGGCCGCGGTTATTCTGTCGCCACCGCCATACTGTAACTTGCCGTCCGGTCAGTTCCAAACTTCAACGTTCACCATCAACAGCGTCATTCCATCTGTTCCAGGAGGGTCAAGCTCACGTTCGTATTTTCTTCCTTTTATTATTATTACCTAGTTATTTGATCGTATTAGTTATTTATTATTCAATATGTGTTAATATACGTCAAATAGTTTAACTTTATTTAGTTTATAGTGTTATTGGTCACACCATGTTACATACATGTATATATCTCATCCTCATTCCTTATACAGAACACTGTCTTGTTATTTTTCCTATATTTTCTTCCAGCTAAAATCAACAGCTAAAATCATTATACTTAACTAATTATATGATTTATTTACAATTATAAAATTATAAAGTACCGATGTTGTTTCTGTAATCTCCTTTACTTCCATTTACATCTGGTACAGGTAACGTTACATTTTTAACAATTGAAACGATTAGATATATAAAAATACTAGGTATCTATTTTCATTCTTTTTTCTTGATGATGTAATTAATTTATAGCTAGGTTTTTATTATTTTTATTTTACCCTGGACAATCGTAATTTATCTTGGATTTTATCATCGCTCAATAATAATATCTTCACTAATGTTTTTTGTTAATTCATCATTAATCAACGCCAATGAATAAATTGCTTGGTATAAATCATTTTTATACTTCAATGTATTTAGTAAATTCTTAGATAAGAATTAGAAATAATTAATTAGTTATCGAATTCAGGTTGTGCTTTTCAGCCGAATACAATGCCTTGAATTGAGGTTGTTTAATACCAGAGTGATGCCAACTATAATATTTTTGATGGCAAAATAATTGAAAAAATCGAATTTATTCCATTTATTGGATTCATTATTAGCCATCCATTCTACCCTTAAAATATTTTACACATATATATTTACTCCTTCAAGGCTTCCTTGAATCTGATAGGTAGTGGTGAGATTTACTAAGTTCAATTTTAAATTGCTGACACATTTTTTAATTCATCAATTATACAATTGGCGAACTCCGGTCGTCATCTGACTGAAGAATTGAAGGTGTACCAAGAGTACAAAATATATATATATATATATATATATATAAATTAAATTATATGGTACTTCAGCTATAGTTTTCATTTTTAAGAGTACGCAACGTTAATAACTTTGATAAATGGTTCTGGTAATTTAATATAAATCTGTACCATCCATTATTGCAAGACTGCATATCGATTAAATCAACTTGTCCACGTACATTGACTTCATTAAATATCATAGGTTCAACAACAAATCTTTTTTTTTTTTTTTTTTTTAATATATTTTTATTTAAACACGTTACACAATAATTGTTTATAAATAATTGAATAAAAGAACGAGATATATCAACGTAATTATTTCTTAAATTATAAATCATTTTATGATTTCATCATGGCCTGTTTCTTTATGAGACTTCATAAATATCGTATGTTTCATCATTATGCGCATAGTATTTCTTTTCATTATTTTCAGAACTATCTAATGGAAAAATTAATTTATTAACTTCACTAGCTTTCATTATGTCGTAGCGATTCAAACATCTGTGGTTTAATGAAATCTTATTTTTTTGATATTTAGCTTCAAGTATATCATTTAGTATTTTTTTTGAAAATATAAGGACTTTATCGATTTTGTTTTATTTTAATAACCTGACAAGCTAATAGAATTTATACAATTTTATTTTAACAGTATGATACATAATATGTAGTTTTATAATAATAAAATATTTTTAAATATCATTTATATGCTTTATGACTGTGGTTAAAATTACATTAATATAATATGTTTTTACATTTTATGATTTGCACCATGAAACTATAAATATCGCGGCGAATTATATAATTGTGTATTGTACCAAACTATCTACTTTGTACAGCAAAATTGTGCAGTACGCAATATGTAAAAAAATCTTTGTACGCAATGTGAAACGTATAATTCTGGACTTTGTATGTAATACACACATACACACATATATGTTACCGGCAATATGGATAATCCGGTATTTTAACAAATGCCTAGGTATTATATAAAATTCCAAAAATCACTCGTTAATATACACAATACGAGCTTTGCCTAGGTATTATGTATAATGCCAAACGTAGAGTAGGCAATATGATGAAAACAAACAAAATTGGACATGGCCTATTACTAACGACTTTACTTATCGTTTATCATAAATGTGTGTGTTTGATTTAATGCAATAAAGATTAATATTCTTTTACTACTATAATAATAATTCTGAGATACAATATTGAACGTACTAATAATTTTATTACTATATCGTCATGTTTCTCGTCATTTTCGTCTCTCGTTATGGTGTTGCAACTATGCATACGAGTTATATGAAGTTAAATTTTTAAAACAAACTACAAATTTTTTTTAAAAAATTGACTAATATTACTAGGCCTAATTGGCCAAGGATTTTTAAAATGTGTTTGTAAGTCCAAGTATCAAAATAAAAAGTGTATGTGCCTTACAAATAACAATTAATTTAATAATTTTGTGCACTTCAAAATGTCACTTTTCTACAACATGTTATAATAAATAAATAGTAGTTCAAGTAAAATATTTATATAATAGTAATAATATAATAATAGATAAAAATTAAATCTTGTCTGTAATATGAGTAATAATTAGGATTCTTCAATGATATCGATATCGCGAACTTTTTTTCTCAAACTTAGATATCGATAATCGTAATATATCGTACGATATATCGATAATTGAAATATATCGGGTGTTCTGGGTTAAAAATAGCAATACTAGTTACTATCTAGTACCAATAAAAAGGTACCTATTACCTAACCTTTTTCTGTAGCACCTACCACATAATTCTGTATACCTACTACCTAGTCAAATGAGTATTGAGTATTTTTTGAGTAATTTTATTATGATAGTCATAGATATCGGAATATCGATTTCGATATATCGATACCTAAATTTTTTTTTCGATATCGCACAATTCAAAATAATATTGATATTCAAAAATATATCGTTGAAGAAGCCTAGTAATAATATATAATAATTATAAGAATATTAATGTAATATAACATAGAATAAAATTTTTTGTACTTTGCCTAAAAAAAAAAAAATTGGCATTTTGCTTAATGCCTAGGTATTTTATAAAATATTAAAAAATAAAATATTGAAAATCATACGTTTTATTTACATTGCCTAAAATGAGTCGGCAATTTGCATTTCCTTTAGACCGTGATGCGACTCATGGTGAGCTAATAATTATTGTTTAATATAAGACGGAATAAGACGAGTGTCTATAGTTAATAAAAATAATTGCTCTTTACTAACTGTTATAATTTAATTTTTACCTTTTAAAAAAAATGTATAATTTAATTAATTATCTATGTTCATTTTAATCTAACATATCTTTTTTTTTTTTAAATATAAGAATTAATTAACACTAAAAATAATAATCATAATATCAATCATATTATACTTATTATTCCTTTGGGTGTTGTAATTTTTAATAAATTTAAATAAATAATGTAAGAGACTCAGGGTTTTATGCAATGTTTTTATCTAACATCTATTGTTGGAGCTGTTCAGAATATAAAGATGCTTTTCGATAACATAAATATAAATTGTATTGTATTATATTATTTTATTTTAGTTCGATATATTTATAACAGAAGTAAACTTTAGTCTTAAAAATATATAAAAATAATTTCAAAGCTCACTGAAACATAAGTATTGTGATTAGTGTAAAGTAAACTGACCGTTCCAAATAACAATTAAAAATAAAATAAACGACATAAATAAATGTTTTGCTCTTTTATGAGAAAATAATCCATCTCGGTTTTTCATCATTAGTTTTCCAAAGTCCCTCACTGGTTCAGAAGTTAAATAAATAATTAAATATTTCATTTCGCGTCGAATTTCAGTATTTATTTTTAATTAAATTGAAATTCATCAATATTGACAAATGTTAGCCCTAATTATATGGGTGATATATTAAGTAGTGGTATCTATTATCTTAAAATTTTTTCTTCCGCCCGTATGGTAATTATTCAAGACTAATAATCGTTTTTAAACAGTTATTATAAATATATACAGATTTGTTTGTCTTTCCTACGGATAGAAAATTATTATTTTTTCTCCTTCGGTTGTTGCAGAGAGAATCTTTTGCACGATACGGACGAACTAACCAAGTTAGTGTGTCTGAAGTCGCTGAAAACGTTGGTGGTGTCGCACAACAGTTTCAGGAAGAATCCTCGGAGTATCGCCAAGAAAGTGTTGAAGTTGTTGCCGTGGCTGGAGCGGATCGACAAGGGAACGGTGAGCACTGTTCAGTCGGATAATGGCGTCAAAGGATCTCAAGTATACAGCGATAGCGGTGAATCGGGACAGGACGAAGATGAAGGATCGTACGAGGAAAAATAATACAAAGGGAACAAAATACACTTTGAAGCGAACTTTTTTCTCCTCTCTTATCGATTAAAACACAGCGTAGAATACGTATACGGCTAATACCACTACTACTACAAGACTCTTTATTTCTATCCCTTTCACTCTTTATATAAATGTGCTTTTGTTTTTGCTATTGCACACGTGGGAGTGTGTGATGTATGTGTATGTGTGTGTGTGTGTGTGTGTGTGTGTGTGTGTGTGTGTGTGTGTGTGTATGTGTGTGTGTGTCTGTGTGTGTAATGACGGCCAAACAAAAGTTTTAATTCCGTGCGTTCTGTCCGTGTAATAAAACTATAATATAATGTACCTTTTCCATCGTCAGTCGGCAGTCGTTATGATAAAGCGAACGCGAGCCACTGGTCGGACTTGCCGGTTTAATATAGTTGGCGATGAAATTAGTGTTTGAGTAGAACCGCTACAACTAAATCATCATCATTATCATTGTTACTATTGCTAAGTATTATCATTAATATATTGATACATATTTACATGCTCCTAGATATATATCTTATGTTCTAAAATTATATTATTATAAAATCATTCGATTAAGTGTTGTTCGATCGTCGTCTACCATCATATGTACATGCACAAGTATATTTTTCATAATATCATTAATTTTATAGGCACCACGGTGTTGGCACAACAGACTTAACAGGCGACGAACAGATGTCATATTATATGAACCGAGGACGTTGTATTTATTCATAAGGTTACTCGACATGACAACTTTGAGGAGTTTTCATTCGATTTGGAGATTTCTGATTGATTATTATTTTATTGGTACAATAATCATGCACTAAGTCCTAATTTATGTCATAATAATTGATAATAATAGCAATAAAATATTATTATAAAATAATAATAATAATAGAATTGTTGATTTTAGCCTCGTGTCCTAATTTTGTGCTCTCGATATTTTTTATCGAGTTAATTATATGAACGTGGACATAATGTTGATGATGCATCTCTTTAACAAAATATTTCCATTAACTCATCTAGCTGTCGTTTCTACAGCTGAAAACCTGTTATTATTAAGTCGAATGCAATTAAGTCATATTAGGTACAACAATTTACCTAATTTCAATTCAATTATCAATTTTATATTACCTACCGCTGCCAGTTGCCAAGACCAAGTACCAACCTATTTAAATGACACCCTCCCCAAACTTTTTAATGATTTAGTGATGCATAAAATTAATAATCAAGTCGCCTCTGGTAACGACTGTACCGTGTCCTTTAAACGTGTCGTTAGACGGCAGTGGTACACGTCACACGACAGCCGATACGTACTATGCTTTTCCGAGTTTATATTTTACGCGCCGGGCCGCTGTGCATGTCCAGCGCCGCGTGTGCCGGAAAAACAAATTAGCCTTTTCCGAGATGTACAATAATATAACCGTCGCGCGAAACCGTCTTTAGTTTTTTGTTGTTCTTTTCCCCCGTCGTTCGTTTTAATTTCCGCGCTCGAAATATTCACTCCGTGACCGGCAATAAGTCGCATACAACGGTCTTATTTCCGCCAACGCGATGAGCCGCAGACCTCTACTTCGAAGGACGTCTACAATACTTTTGGGTTTCGCGAAACGTGTAGGTATATTTAACAAACCGTAACGTATAAATAATGAAATAAACATAAATAATAATTTTTCATTTAATATTTTGGTACATTTGTCTCAATGACCATATGTTCTCCTTGAATCTGTTATATTCTTCTCGGCTAGCTTCGATTATTTATGATTTGTCCTTTTGTAGCAGTCAATTGCAGCTGTTCTACTATCATAACAAGTTTTTTCACGACATTTTAGAACACTTTGTATTATTTTTTTTCACCAAGACCGCATTATTTATTTTTTATCGAATATTTTAGAATAAATTGCATTAAATTCGAACAATATCAGTTAAAATACTATTAAGCTTAAATTTTAGGACCCCTCATTTTAATTCATTGTTACATTGTAAGTCAATGAGTTCAATTTGAAGATATTCGACATAAGTTTGAAAAGGAGATGAATATATTTCAAAAAAATTTTCTTGTATTTGCCTAAATTGGTGAAACGACCCTCAAAATCAGCTATATATTCGTAAATTATGTTTCACATTTAATGTACCAATATGTTATCAATATCAATATGGTAATCAATATTTTTTGAATTTTTTGATTTTTGTTTTTTTATGAATTTTTTCCAATTCGTTTAGCAATGGATTAGGATGGTTTAGATCGTAAATAATACAGTCACCGCGTTGTGCGGGCATTCCAGAATATTCTATTGACATAAAAATAAAATTTTTTTCCGGACGTACGATAAATCTCGTAGGCCACAAAAACTTCTTAGGCCATCCCTGGTATAGATGTTAATAACGTGACTTTCGACAAACGTCACGCCCCACTATTGCGCACTGCAGTATGTTAAATATCAAAGGCTGTTTCTCGGAAGTTACAAATATTATATTAAATATCAGGTATCGTAGACGAGATGTATGCACACATTGTGTGTACTCGTACCAATATACGAACATTTTATGCAGATAAGATTCCTCTACGAAAGCATTTTATTTCAAAATGTAAATATCTTCGGGAATATAAAACTGTCTCAGTGTAAACTTATCAACTATATCCGTCTACCTAATGTGCTAATATACCGCAGTGAAACGAACAACTCTCTTGCGCTACACGTGTGTATGCCGTGAGAATTCAACGGTATTCGTCGCGACATGTGCGAAACTTTAACCTCGTGATATTATAATCGTGTAAGTCTGTAGTCCTCCCCCCCTGCTCACCAAAAATTAATTAAAAACCTATACATCAACTGTTTGAAATGCGTCGGTTTATTTTCCACTACGTTTAATCGATTTCCTCCTCTAAAGGGTTTTGCACGCATTATATCATACCTAGAATACGGATTATAATGAACGATAATTTTTTTTTTCACTCACCGAATAAACGAAAAGTGCTTGGTATACCTTTTACATTTCATTTTTTACAGTGCATTCAAGTGCAAGGGTGCGAGATAGTGTAGTGTATAAGTTTCATGATAGCACTCGTTTTGTATTTTTCAACATCCGTAAGCTGGCATAACAAGTAGTGTACCATTAATATACAAGTATATTATGTAAAAGGATAAGATATGCAAATTTGCTAAAATAAGATTATCCCGCTTGATGTTTCGATAGCAACGGATATTAATAGATAGGGAAAATACTAAGTACACAAATTCGAAAATAAATACTTAAGTATATAATGCTGATTCGTCCGGTTTTGTCTATGTCATACCATTGACTTTATAATGGACTTTAATATAATGAATGGTTATAACAAATCATTTTGTATCAAGGCATTAACGAACATTTTCATATTCACTCTAATGTTGCGACAAAATTCATTGTACAGGTGCCAATAGTTTTTTTATGATTTCTAACATTTCATTGTACACATGAGAAATAACTTGGACAAATCTATAAATATTAACTCCAAAAACTAGGATAATTTAAATTAGATATTTAACTTTCTCCGTGATAGACTATATAATTAAAAAAACTCTGCATTACGATCAGATGAGTAGTTTTGGTGATCAACAAACATTGAACACGTATACCAATTTATAGATATTTACCCGTGAAATAATAGTGTATGTTTCTATAATATAAAATTTAATAAATACAGATGTAAAAAATAAACTAATTAATTGTTAAAATGTATAATTTTTTTGTTTTCGAGACAGTTGTAATAATCTCAACATTATATTTTTCCCCGTATTTCTTTTTTTTTTTGTGAACGTTTTATTTTCGTCTAATAATATTATTAGAAAAACTTGGATTGTTTCTATTATATCGTATTACGTTTAACGTCGGTGCCACAGTTTTCATATTAATCTAATGGAAGATGAGGATGGTAAAAACATATATTATAAACATATCGTTCCCTCTATTTTGTAAAATCTTGCATGTTTAATATGTTATCTACTAAATTGATAAGTAGTGATGAACCAAAGATTTTCTTTTAGAAGAGAGGGCCCAAAGTTTTTCAAATAAATATATAATACCTACATTAAAAAAAATAGATACATAATAGGATAAAATACACAATTTTAAATCATAATTGTACATCAGTTCTGCGATAGCAGTCATCCGGCGCGCACGTACTCGCTCCCGGTGTGTTTATTAATTGTCTTAATTATTGCTCTCTGTCAATAAATATCACAAATGCGTTAATTGCATAGCAGTTATTTTATTTTTCTGATTCCTAACATTTCTTATGTTTTTAATGCAACTCATGTGTTTGTGTGTACTATATTCTCTATTATAGTGGTCATTGACAGTGTATACTTAACTCGGCCGTCGCCGCGGCGGCCTTGGTTTTTATTATAGTTTCTTATCGCGACTCTCAATTCTCGCTATCGTAGTCGCAACAAGCTAATTAATATATATATATATATATATATATATATATATATATATATATATATATATATATTTACACGCATATCTATATACTCACGTAATAATGAGTAACAACAAAAACCAAAACAATAATCCAAAAAAAACGGTGCCACCAATTACAATCATTAACAAAACTACTCACAACTCAGCATCTCAATCGAATGTCTCAGACACCTCACCAAATGGTGAATGGATCGTCAAGTCTACTAATAAAAGAAATCTCTCAACCACCTCGACTTCAGAAGCTCAAAACTCACCTAAAACACCAAATCAACCAATTAAAAAAAAAACTATTCGCGACTAGAAATAGATTCGAAGTTTTCACCCAACAAGTCAATAATGATGACATTCAACACGCTACCAATACCACAAACAATTTAGATCAAACTAACGCAGAATTTCACATCAAATTCCCTCCACCTATTTTTGTTAAAGGAGTCCAAGATTTTCCAGGTCTTTGCACAAGTCTTATTGAGATTCTTGGCGTTGAAAACTTTATCTGTAAATCCTCTACGGACCGTCTAAAAATTCAAACTAGTACTCCGGAAGCTTATAGAACCCTTATACACTTTCTCAAGGATCAAAATGCACAATATCATACATACCAACTGCAACAAGACAAACCCACACGCGTAGTGATCAGGAATTTACACCCATCAACTAATACCAGCCTAATCGAATCTGAATTGGAACATCGAGAATTTGAGGTACGTAACGTTACAAATGTTCTTCATAAGGTCCACAAACATCCACTACCACTC